CAGTTGGACATAGTGGTGTATTAGAGGTAAAATATGATATAAATACTGTTCGGTTTCTCGCACAAACCGAACATCAATGTGTCGTCACGAGCCACAGGGTTTAATTTGGATTTGTCTGTGCATGTTTTTACTGAAGAAACAAAGTCACCTACATCTTGGATGCCCTGGGGGTAAGCAGATAAACATCAAATTTTCATTTTTGGGTGAACTATCCCTTTAAACGCGCATTTCTTCAACTAAAAATGGCGCGCTCTCGTGTGGCACGTTTGAGAGTCGTACAAATCTTCATACAATGAAATAATGTTTGTGTTTATTCTCACACAAAATGTTAACGGATACATTTAATATAGCGTACGTCGTGTAGACCTTGTTGGTTAATGTTTTATAATTTAAATCCGAAGGCTGCAGATTCATGTCTCAGAAGATCGATTCATGAAATGAAAAGTAACCCTATCCTTTACCGCACTGAACAAGTCAGGTTGCTTCAGACACATCTGGTAAACGATTAATATAGGCCTCAGAGTTTCAATGTGTTTGCCTGACACTCTACTTCCCTCTGCTGGGCAAGCTTCAAAATTAATGGGAAGAACTTGGTACTTGGAGGAGCCAGAAAAAGACTTGAATCAAGCACTGCATGGGATGTAACTTTAGATAGATCAAAGACTTCAGACAGCATTAAAATGATCCTAGCTGAAAATAACTATATTTTCCTCTGGCAGACCTAACTTATTCTCAAATTTAATATATATTATATTACTTTGTAATAAAATATTATATTATTTATAATGCCTTAAGCTATTGTAGAAGGAAGGCCGTCTATATGTTTCCTCCATGAGTGAGCCTCTCTCTTTGTTGTTGTTGTTGTTTTTGAAGTACAATAAAATAACATTTGAGTTATGAACTACTGGTGAAACTGTTACACAAAAAAATAAAAATAAAGTACGTCTTCAATTCCTCGTTTGTGTGAATTGTGCTCAAAACACAAGAGGGCAGCAGCAGTCCATCATGAAAACATAGATCTCTGCAGCCCTATGATGAACTAGATACAGTTTGGGAGAACTGTGATTGTGAATATATAGGATATTATGCAAAATATGTAAAAGATAATGCGAAAACGACTGGTTGACTGTACATTATCCGGCTTATGCAGCGACTCACCAAATAAATAAATACGAGGACATGAAATATTCATTCGAGTTGAAATTATTTTATAATTGAACCATTATCCTAAAGCTAAGAAAGGAAATACAGCATAATCGGCACACCAGTAATACACTGCACCAGCAATATAGTTATGTTAACTTAATAGTGTATTAAAGTTATCTGAAGGCCATTTTCACTACAGTCGTTAATTGAGGCACACGATAGCACCAGTTGCGTTTGTACGGACAAATCACGCACTTTCTCACTCAAAAAAAGTATGGGATATTAGCTGGATGAGGTGGATATTTACAACCCACTGCTGGAAACAAAACAATCTGCACAAGCAGCTTGTGAACGATTCTGAACTGCAGGTAAAAACAATTTATGTCCATAACAGTTTTTTAAACATAATATATCAAAGTATGCCCCAGTGCTGAATGAAAGGCTAGAAATGCCCCTGGAACCATTCCCACTGAAAAGCAGTATGTCCAGATAAAAAGTGCTCAAACCCATGTAAAACCAGCCAACAGACCGACTTGTCCAAGCCAGGAGACCAGAAAGCCTAGCTGAAGCTCCTTTCCCTCAGCAAAGGCGGTCTGAGGTATAAACCAAAAAAAAAAGTGTATACGCTTCCAGTGTAAGAGCAAAGACGTTCAGCGTTCTGCTCCTTTTCCGCTGTGCTGCGTCCAGCTGTTTTTAAACAATAAAAGAACGCAGAACGCGTCCTCTGCGTGTGTGAACGGCCCAAAAATTACAGGCTTAGGACCACGCCTGTCCTAGAAGGAGGAGTGGGTGAAGGCATAAATGCAGAAATTTTTCACTGTCACGCTTTACAGCTGCAAAGGAGCACAGGGCAAAAAGTCAGAAAATGTCCGGCGTGGCATCCACACTCGCCAAGAAGAGAGCCGTGGCGGCTGGCTTTGGAACGAACGCCAATGCGGTGAAGTACCTGAACCAGAACTTTGAGAGTCTGAGAAGTGAGTGTCTGAGCCGTGGGCAGCTTTTCTGCGACCCAACGTTCCCAGCCGCTCCCGAATCTCTGGGCTTCAACGAACTCGGTCCACGATCGCCAAAAACCAGAGGTGTTGTGTGGAAAAGACCCGGGGTGAGTTCCTGTCAAAGCAACATAAATGTAGTTTTATCAAAGTAATGCATCATGTAGGTAACCAGTTCATGTCCTAGGTAAAATGCGTCTCTATCTATCTATCTATCTATCTATCTATCTATCTTTGTCATTGTGGCATGAAGCATTCAACTCTTGGTAATGTGATTTTCATAAAAGGCAAAATATGCCATTGCCAACACATGACTCATCCCATGAGTATTTAAATGGAAAACTGGCAACATAGAACACATTTTCAATGCTTTTTACCATTTCTGCAGGAACTGACCTCCAATCCTGAGTTTATTGTTGGAGGGGCTACAAGAACAGATATTTGCCAAGGAGGTTTAGGTAAGCAAACGCCCCTGCTAGATGCAGATCTAACTGATTTAAAAGTCCACAAGGTGTTTGTGTTTGTGTTTGTGTGAGATTAACCAAATATGTCTTGCATTTTATGAAGCTCTCTTGGAGTTGTTATTCATTTTAACTTTATTGGGAAATCCCCTTTAAACATGTGGAAACATTTTAAGAAAGCACACCCAATGTCTTTGAGTATTCTGTTCCCCTTTAAACAAGTTTGCACGCTCTCATAATGAATTAATATTGCACTGCCGTCTAATTCTCACTATTAAATGAGACCCTGTAGGTACTCACACATCAGAGAAGTCTTTGTGCACTTTTTGGGAAAAATACTAGCCACTGCTGTTTTCAGCTCGCGTATTTGTTTTACTTGCAATGAATCTGTTTAGCCGGGTGGAGAAATCCTCATGAAGTGGGGTGTGATTTGCACCATTGCATAACACAGAGGGCGATTTCCTGTACATTTGACATTTGCTAGACATTTTTTGTAGATTTTACTTAATTACTTATTTTTGTGTATTTGCCTAAATATTCATTTCTTTACAAAAATTATTATTTTTGTATTTATTAATTTAAGTTTGATTTTATTATTTTTTTTTATCATTTTTTTTTATTTAGTCAGTTTGAGATCACATCATGTGCATAGGCTTGATTTAAGGCTCATGCAATACTTGTAGCCTCGCTAAACACTCCAGAGAGGCATAAATTATTATTAAATGAAATGGTTTCTCAGTCCATTGTTTTATAGTGCGAAATAGAGCTAAGATTGTTATGGTACTGGTTGAGGAAACTGCAAATCAAGCCTGCCAGTTTCAACGTTACTATAGTAACACTTTCAGTGTTGTTGCACATCATATCATCAGGAACATATTGTCATAGATGTATGAAAGATGAAAGCTGAGTCATTCAACTGAAAAGGAAACCGTTTTTTAGCTCAGTGAGTTGTGGGCATACTCATTTCAAAGACTAGTCAGCTGACATGTTGTGGAAGAATCTGAAAGGCGGTTTATTTAGAGGCATTCAGCTAAACTGAGTCGTCTTTGTGAAGATTATGGAATGCACAGGATTTTGGGGCGGGACAAAAAATGTAGGCCTACAAACAAACCGCTGGAGGATTGAATCTCAGCATTTGCAATTGAGCATGTGGGAAATTATCTTAAAGGGATAGTTCACCACAAACATTAAAATATTGTCATTATTTACTCACCTTCATGTCATTCCAAACCCTTTTGTTTTCTTTCTTCTGGAACATAAAAAAAAAAATTATGTAGTTGATTGCTCTTTTCCAGTTCAGTTACAAATCATGGAGACTGAAGCCTTCAAGTTTGAAGTCTTAATATTTTTAAACTGCTTTAGCTTATTTGCATTCTTCATTTCTGTGCTTTGGTAAAATGTCAATGTTCCTTATTAACGTTGATTATACCTTTGTATATGTAAATCTGGTAAAGTTCATCAAACTTTCACAACCACAAGAGTTTCCTTTCTGCAGGTGATTGCTGGCTCTTAGCGGCCATTGCTTCCTTAACACTCAATGAAGACGTTTTTGCTCGTGTCGTACCATCCAACCAGGGCTTTGGGCAAAACTATGCTGGAATTTTCCACTTTCAGGTAAACAAAGTAGATATGAAAGTTACATTGCACTTGGACAGCCTGTGAAGAGAAATATGTTGAATAATTGGGATGTTTGCAGAGAGATTACGTTTTAAGGAATGAAGCCTTGATAGGAGGTTGATAAAGCATTTTGGGTTAGAGTTTGCGAAGTAGTTGCTATTTTGTTCTGGGAGGTTGCTTGCTGCCTCTATGTGCTCAGCCTTACTGTATTTTGAAATTCCACTTTTTGCTGCGCCACTGAGTTTAATTATATTTAAGCATTTAAATAATTTCCGGATCATAACTGTAAGTGATGCCAGAGATTATTCACAGGCCTTTCAGATGTAGCAGACATATCAGTCTGTGCTTTGGCTCTTGATGCTGAGCATTCATGAGTTATGAGGTTGTATCTTAAGTCTAATCTGCTGTGATTCCTCCCTAATTTAAGTAAATTTGTTTTGCTGGTTGCAGTTGTGGCAGTTTGGGGAATGGGTGGATGTGGTGGTGGACGATCGATTGGCCACTCAAGATGGAGAACTGCTGTTTGTTCATTCCGCCACAGGCTCTGAGTTCTGGAGCGCCCTGCTGGAGAAGGCCTATGCTAAGTGAGTCATATAATCTCCGCTTTTGTTGGGTTTGGAATGTGTTTGTCTTGCATCATTACAGCCACAATTGCTGTCTAGCTTACATTTTAGAATCGGTCTATTTGTTTAGTCTATTTTTTGCTTTAAAATAGTCTATTAAAATTATTATAATTAATTCTGCTGAAATTATTAAAATAATTATAATAATTTTTAATTTAAGAAATGTATACAAACTAAAAGTTTTGAAGTCTAATGCTAACCAAGGCATTTGTTTGATCAAAAATACAGTAAAAACAGTAATATTGTGACACATTATTATTACAATTTAAAATAACTGTTTTATATTTTTATATATTTTAAAAAGTAATTTATTCTTGTGATGGCAAAGCTGAATTTTCAGCATCATTACTTCAATCTTCAGTGTCACATGATCCCTCAGAAATCATTCTAATATGCTGATTTGCTGCTTAAGAAACATTTCTTATTATTATCAATGCTGAAAACGGTTGTGCTGCTCAATATTTTTGTGCAAACCTGGATTCTTTTACCTTAAATGATAAATATGTGGTTACCGCTTTGCAGAGTGGTCAGTCATCATACACATGTAGCTCACAAATGTTGTACAATACTTTTATACCCTATGTTGGTAGTCTGTTTCACTCTTTTTTTGCACACATGTGTGACACCGTGTTCTCTTATTCAGAGTGAATGGATGTTATGAAGCACTGTCTGGAGGTTCCACCACAGAAGGTTTTGAGGATTTCACTGGTGGGATTGCAGAAATATACGAGTTGAAACACGCCCCGTCCAACATTTTCCAAATCATCAGGAAGGCCCTGGAATCTGGAGCTCTGTTGGGATGCTCCATAGATGTATGAGCTCTTTAGCACACAAACTGATGTTAAAGGATTAGTTCACCCAAAAATTAAAATCCTGTCAGATAAGATACAGTAAAATAATGCTTATTTTACATAGATCACCAATGCAGCAGACTCTGAGGCCATCACTTATCAGAAGCTTGTGAAAGGACATGCCTACTCTCTTACTGGATTAATCGAGGTTCGTCATCTGAGTGTCTTTCATTTTTTTAGGCTCCCTTTGCATTACTGTTCAGATAATGCCTTGGATTAGAATAAATTCAAATGATTTCCTGTGCATTTGCTTAGTTAAAGGAGACATACACTAAAAGTAGCATTCTACTTGTTAACATTTATATGTATAATCTATCTATAATCTTGTCAGGTTAATTACCAAGGCCGAAAGGAGAAGCTGGTCAGAGTTCGTAATCCTTGGGGTCAGGTGGAATGGACGGGGGCCTGGAGTGACAAGTAAGACCCAAAAATTCAAAACAATATTAATTTATCAAGAGGTATATTTACTATATCATGCCGTTGCATACGTTTGTAATGAAGCTGTTGTAGTGTTAAACAGTAGTATATTCACAATATAGCTGGACCTAATTTGACCGTAATTATGTCTGCGTATTTTAGCTCTTCTGAGTGGAATGCTGTCGATTCGTCTGAACGTGAGAATGTGAAAGCAGAAGATGGAGAGTTCTGGTAAAATTCAGTTAAAAACCATACAACCGCAACACTGAAGCTCTTTTTGGCACAATTATTCACTACCTGTTTGCACTTGTGTAGGATGTCATTCTCAGATTTTGTGAGGCAATATTCTCGCATAGAGATCTGCACTCTGACCCCAGATACGCTGACGTCTGACTCTGTCAATCACTGGAGTGCATGTAAATTTGATGGCACCTGGAGAAGAGGCTCTACGGCTGGTGGATGCAGGAACAATCCATGTAAGCATGTTTATATTCTGTAACCGACCAAAAGGTTTAAGTGGGCGTGACATAACAGCATCAGCTCAAGTTTGGAGAGGGACTGTCTTATCAGTGGCAGAGTCAACTTTTTGTTCACTGTACAAATTGTAAAAAAATAAAATGGCTTTGCACCACAGAAATAAATTACATTTTAATATATATTCAAATAGAAAAAGATTTTTCAATTTAAATAATATTTCACAATATTACTGCTTTTACTATATTTTTTATTTATCAAATATAATATTACTGTTTTCATTGTACTTTTGATTTTACTGTATTTTTGATTGAGTATAAGAGACTTCTTTTAAAAACATTTAAAAAATCACTTTTGAATGGTAGCATATGTGAAAAAAATTCATGTGAAATATGCAGACTAAAAAACTGTAACCTGTTGCTTTAATTGTCATCTTAATTATTTGTCTTCCACAGACACCTTCTGGATGAATCCTCAGTTTAAGATCAAATTGGAGGAGGAAGATGATGATCCTGATGATGATGAAGTGGGCTGCAGTGTTGTGATTGGCTTGATCCAAAAGAACCGGCGTAGGCTGAGGAAGTCTGGAGAGGACATGCACACCATTGGCTATGCCATCTATGAGGTGGGGTTGCTAAGATACAAATGTTTATGTCTCTTTTGTTGTAAATTTAATGACATAACCTGTGAAGGGCGCTGTTTATACAACTATTCCTTTTCTTTTCTTCTAGGTGCCTCCTCAGGTGAGCACAATGGAATAACTTTAAAATCATTTCTGAAAATTGAGAGAATAAACATAAATAGTAATAATGAAGCATTTGAAATATATTTTGCTAAAAATACTGGTCAATAATATCCACAGAAAAACATTCAAAAGCACCAAGAAACCACCTAGTAATGCCCTAGAACCCCCCAAACCACCCCAGCAACTGCCGGGTAACCTCCCATAACACCCTAGTAGTGTTGACTTTTGCTCAGGCAAACACCACTCACATTTTCTTCAGAAAATGTATGAATCTGGTTTATTGTCCCTTTGGTTCTTGATCACTTCATTGCAGTTCCACGGGCAAAAGGACATTCATCTGGATAAGAACTATTTCCTGACCCATGCTCAGAAAGCTCGATCAGAGACCTTTATCAACCTTAGAGAAGTCAGCACCCGCTTCAAACTTCCTCCTGGAGAATATCTCATCGTCCCATCCACATTCGAACCGCACAAGAACGGAGACTTCTGTGTGCGTGTGTTCTCTGAGAAACAGTCTGAGATGCAGTAAGGATTGTCTCTTTTTTTATTACCTTTATTTAACCAGGAAAGAGACGCACTGGAGTGCCAAAAGGAAAAACTCCTTTTACAGGAGTGTCCTGGCCAAGATAGCCAAGTCTGCATATACAAATAAACAACAAAGTTACAACATACAGTACTAAAACCGACATACAAACATATAACCAATTAAAAACAATTACACCCCTTTAATTCACTCTCTAGATTACGTAGTCAAGATTTTAAATAATTATAAGTCACCAAGTTTTGTAACTTCATCTCCTTTTGGAGAAGATTCCAATCTGAAGTGGCAGCATATTTAAGGGAAGTTTTACCAAGTTCACAAAGATTATCATTTGATTGAGAACGTACTGAGTAATTGCCAGACAAAGTCCTTTGAATAAAACAACAGAGATAAAATGGTAAATAACCCAATATGACTTTATATATCAATAGATACCAATGCATTTTTTTCCGAATACTCAAAGAAGGCCATAAAACTCTTATGTATAGTTCACAATGATGTGTTGAAAATTTACAATTAGTTATAAATCTCAGAGCATCATGGTACAATGCATCCAAGGAGGCAAGAAGATAAGAGGGAGCATGCTGATCCCCATAATCGAGAACTGGTAGAAAAGTAGCGGACACTAATTTCTTCCTCACATTGAATGAAAAGCATGACTTATTTCTAAAATAAAACCCTAACTTTTTCTTACATTTTTGCCTCTAATACTTAATGTGTGAACCAAAATGTAATGTGTTATCAATAATAATACCCAGGTATTTGTACTCTGACACTGAAGTAATTTGGCTCCCCTGAGAAGTCGGAAGAAATATATATATATATATATATACTGTGCATCTTGACATATTATTAAATAGGCTTAGATGGTAGGACTATCAGAAAATTTTGTTTTGTGGTTCATTGCTTATTTAAAGGGAAAAACCCAATGTGTACAGATAGAAGGTGTTCAGTCATATCCTCTGGAGGTTGTTAAGGGAGTCCCACAAGGATCTGTGCTGGGGCCATTATTATTCAGCATATATATATATATATGCTGACTCCCTTAACAACCTCCAGAGGATATGACTGAACACCTTCTATCTGTACACATTGGGTTTTTCCCTTTAAATAAGCAATGAACCACAAAACAAAATTTTCTGATAGTCCTACCATCTAAGCCTATTTAATAATATGTCAAGATGCACAGTATCAAAGGCCTTTGATAAGTCAATAAAAAGTCAAGCACAATGTTGTTTATTATCTAAGGACTCCACAATGTCATTCAAAACTTTTTAAATGGCCGTAGTAGTACTAAGCCCTTTACGGAACCCGGATTGGTTAATAGACAAAATATTATGACAGTTTAAATACTGTGTCAACTGTTTGCTAACTAGATTTTCCAAAGGTTTTGAGAGAATACAGAGCTTATATGTAGGTCTATAGTTATCCATTAAAGAAGGATCACCCCCTTTTGACAGGGGAACTACAAATGCTGATTTCCAGATCTTAGGGAATGTATTAGTTAATAATGAAAGATTAAACAGACACGACAGCGGTCACCACTAGTTTTAAAAACAACGGAGCAATATGATCAGGACCTGGCGATTTATTCACATCTAATTCTTTTAAAGCAGAACAAACATAGGAGAGAGTAATTTGTTGAAAAGCGAACTCTCTTGTCCATAGATTACGTTCAGCTTCAAGGAATTCTACATTTGAATTTATGTAATTATATGTTTGAAATAAAACCCCCATGCAATAAAATAACTATTAAAACTATTAAACATTTGCTTTTATCTACAATTTTTGATAAGCTCTTGATAAGACCATGTTTAAATTACTTGTAGTGTCTTCAACATATGATCAACCAAAACTCTATTACTTTATTACAAGTGGTCCTAAGAAACCTGCCAAGAAATGACAAAACATGTAATTATTATTATTAATAATAATAATAATATTTTTGTTTAAATAATTCTGTGGTCTGAAGGAAATTGTTATTTTTGCTGTTTTTCTTTCTTTCTTTCTTTATTTATTTATGACCGTAAATTCTTATTTTTCCTAGAGTTTGTAGTCACAAAAATAGTTGGTCAATATAAAAAAAAGTAGATAAATGTGGTCTGTGTGTGTGTGTGTGTGTGTGTATATATATATATATATATTTGTTTTTTGATTACATATTTATATGTATATATTATTATTATTATAAATTTTTTATAAGAAGGGGTGCCGTATGACCTGTGAGATTCTCCTTTCTATGTGATACACCAGTAGGTTTATCTACTGTCTCTGTCTCTCTTATTTCCTCCAGACAATGTGATGACCCTGTAGAGGCAAACATAGAAGATGTAAGTCCCATTTTCCTGTGTTCCTCTTATAATGCTACCATTGACTTTATTAATGTGAACATTATCAATAACCTCTTTTCTGACTCCTCAGGAGGCAGTGTCTGAAGATGAGGTTGATGCTGGCTTTAGGGGACTGTTTACTAAACTTGCAGGAGATGTGAGTTATTTTAGACCCTGCATAATGTTCATGAATTACCTTGATAAACATGAAACATGTTTGACCAATTAAATATAAAAATAATGTTTGCTCTTCCCTAAGGACATGGAGATCTCTGCCACTGAGCTGCGAACAATTTTCAACAAAATAGTCGCAAAAAGTTAGTCTTTTCTTTATATATATATATATATATATACATTGTATTCATAAAGACATTAAGTAAACAATTTGTCTTCTGCTTACAGGAACAGATATTAAGACAGATGGTTTCAGTTTGGAAACATGTAGGGTCATGGTGAACCTCATGGATGTATCCTTTACAAGTAGTTTAAAGATACATTTCTGTTTAACTTCTCAGTATTTCTGAGAGTCATAAGCAGTTTGACTTAACTCTAGTGCAGGAAAGTGGCAATGGTAAGCTAGGGTTAGCTGAGTTTGCCACTATTTGGAAGAAAATTCAAAAGTATCTGGTAAGTTTGTCTTAAGTGTGGCATAGAAATTCAAAAATGCTACTTGCAAACCTGATGGGTTGTCTTGGGCTAAAATCCTTGTCTTTTTAGGTCATTTATAAGAAGAATGACATGGATGGGTCCGGCTGTATGAGTACACCAGAGATGCGAATGGCTTTAAAGCAAGCAGGTTGACCTTCATTTAAACTTTTAGTTTTAAAATGAGTTTTTAATGAAGGAGCAGCAAGTGAAACTTCAAAGTAACCTCAAAGTAACTTGATTTATTGGTAATCATTGCACAGGATTCTCTCTGAATGACTGCATTCATCAGAATCTGGCTGCACGCTATGGAGACGCAGACATGAAGATCGACTTTGATAACTTTGTGTCCTGTGTGATGCGCCTGGAGATGATGTTCAGTAAGAACGGCTCTTTTTTTTTTTCCTGATTGGTTGAAATATGTTTCAAGAGTGTTAATTACAGGTTTCAATGTAGGTCTTTTTTTTTTATTATAATTGTATGGCTATGAATTACTTGAGGTTTGTTGACCGCATTGTTGTTCACTACATTACATACTTTAGAATAAACAGACGATATCGTCCGCTGGTGTGGACGCTAATATAGTTATCTTTATAGTAATCATTCTTGGAGTGAGCAGGCCTTTAGACTTTTTTTTTTTACTTTCAATTAATAATGTAAGTAGAATTTGAAAATGTCTTTCAATGTGTTATGTCGTCTTGTACCGTGAAACCGGTATAATTTTGAAAAATACCGTGATATAAATTTTTGGTCATACCGCCCAGCACTACTTGGATGTGAACATTTTTGGCCAGTAAGCGACTACATGACAATGCTCTGGCAATGAATCAAGCATCTTGGTTTTGTAAGCAAGCGCAAGAAAATGTAAAACCAACAGTAATATTACAGACCTAATGAAATCGCTTGACAAACTCAGGATGTTTTACTTGTTGTGTGAAAAATTAAATGTGATGTATCATAGGGGGGGAAACAGCCACATAATAACAGCCAAGAAACACGATTTGCTATTGATAATCTTTGCAGGTGGTATTAAAAGCCACAAAGCTGTAATTTTGATTCAATGCACAGAATCTGTTCAATCTATTTGTTGTTGTTGTTTGTTTTTGGTGAACTTTATATTTTTTGATGAAATTTAATATTCAAGCCTGAAACCAAGTTTTGTTTTCTTTGCTGCCTTGCAAGCACTGGTATTTCCTTGTGTAAATTTAAATCTAGTTTGTATTATGGACCATTTGGAATTTATATGCATACAATATACAGCCTTGTTGCTGTAGAGAAACAAATAAAGTTATCTTTTATTATTTGTACCATGATTTTCCAGTGTGCATGTTATTTAGTGGCTATCAGGGGTGTCGACTTCTTGAGAATTTCTGTCAGTAATTTTCGCTACACAATCTTTTGATGTTTGCCTCAAATTGTATTTTGGCGAAGATTTTAAAACGAGCTGTTTATTCATAAACTCGTACGAACTTACCTTTACCTTTATGGAAATACAAACGGATGACAGAACCATAGGACTTAAGCGCAGCGCTGAAAAGGGTCTATAGTCTGAAAAGTCTATAGACATACTTGAAATCACTGTTGAAATATACACTCTAAAAAATGCTGGGTTAAATATAACCCAGCATTTTTTTAGAGTGTAGGCCTACTGTTTGATACAAATAACATATGCTGTGATATGATGCATAAAAGAATGTAAAAAGAATATATACTTATTTATAGATAGTGTTGTTTTTATTTCCGTTAGAAAAATTATAACTAAGGGATCCTCTCAAATCCACCATAATACGGACCCGTTATTTGTAAAGCACTTTACCGGTATCTCGTGACAAGTGCACTTGTCGGTCTCAGTGTTTATCGCTCCGCCTCCTCTGGACTCTGTCTGGACACACACACACAAGCTTTAATACACTAGTGCAGCGCTTATCTTTCGGGAGAATATAACTGTATATATCACACATCCCACACAGAGAAGAGACTGACAGGACACAGTTGCAAGGCAAGTTTAGCGGTTCTTGTATTTCTGCCCTCAGTGAATCCTGTCGAGATTTATTTCGTTCTCTTCTGTCCGTGTTGCTGGACTCCGTCGGCCTGCTGTTAGTTTGTCGCATTGAACACATTATTCAGTGTCAGATATGCATGTTATGCTCGTATTGAAGCTTGAAAACGTATTAGGCTTATGTACTGTCGCTCGAAAATGCAGTTGAAATTAATCATTAAATGAACCGCAGTGATTTGCGAAGGTTGAATGGAGTTACTAAGACAACACGACAAAATGTTTGGCATGCCATACATTTTAGAAATGAAATAATGTACAGAACAACCATAGACACTTAATAAATCGCCACTAAAAGTGTTTTTTAAAATGTTACATATTATGATTGTGGTTTAAAAACGGTTCTGTGGTGGATTTCTCTTAGTTTTAATAGTTTTAGTACGCTTATTTAAATACAATGCAGGATGTGGTTACACTCGGTGTGATTTGTGTTGAAATGAATGGGAGGCCCTCAGTCTGTTGAGAGTTTTGAGGCCAGCAGCACAATGCAGTCATTGATACTGAGAGATAAAAGAAATATGATGCTAATGCTGTGACAGTCTATACATAAAATTATTTGCCATACCAATATTTAAGTCTAAAAATTGAGTGAGATTCTTGTAAAGCAGATTATGAGTCTACAAATAGTGCAGCATTCATCACAGTTATCAAAGACAGCATTTAACACCAGACCTTTTGCATCTGTTTTGTTTGCATTTTTAACCTTATTGATATGGAATAATATTTTTAAGTAATTTTTAGTAATCTTACGGATGCCCACAGCCTTCAATGGAGCCAAATTGTATTTGGACACTAAAGTTAGTGTTAAAATATTTAGTAAAATTGCCTTAGAAACTAAATATCAAAGCAAGTAGCATCTGCAAGCAAATGATGGACAACTTTTCTCTTAACGAAACATTTTTTGGGCCATTTTTGCAATTACCAACTGTCGAGTTCATCACATTAACATGTTCCACTAATGTTTAACAACCACAAAGTACTAAAAATACTTTACATATTTTTTTACACACTTTATTCATTGTTTTGGTCATGGTGATGATATCCCATAAACCTTCATGTAAGGTACAACTGTCAATAGGGCAGTACCCTTTTAAAAGGTACTAATATATATGCCTTAGGTACTAATATGTACTTTTAAAGTGTTAATATGTACCTTTAAGATACTAATGTGTACTATTTAGGGGTGAATACGGTACGAAGATGTCATTTTTAGCCCCAGTGACAGCTTTGTACTTTTTTTTTCTCAGAGTGTATGGTCTTCTGAAAGCAAGTGTGCATAATTTGCATTTACATGTCAATTCAAGAGTTTTTTGTTTGTCTTTATTTATTATTATTATCCAAAACACAATGCAATGTACTCAATGTCTACACAAAATTATTTAAGTATTTGTATGAATCATTTTGCTATCAGTTTTGCCATTTATACCCGCTCTGCATCTCACGACTCCAGCATGTTCTCATACGGAGGAATCTCGGCACAGATCAGTGCTAACAGGCTAAAGGCAGATGGCGTGGGCTCTTTTGAGCAGGCTTTACACTTCCAGAACCAGGACTTTGAGGCCCTCAAACAGGAGTGTTTGGAAGGGGGCTACCTGTTTGAAGACCCCTGCTTCCCCGCCGAACCACCCTCTCTCGGCTTCAAAGAACTTGCCCCGTATACCTCTAAAACCCGTGGTGTGGAGTGGATGCGCCCTATGGTGAGGGGAAAAGATTTCTTTTTACACTACCTCTTAGTCTCTTATACTCAACAAGGCTGCATTTATTTGATCAAAAATACAGTAAAAACAGTAAAATTGTGAAATATTATTACAATTCAAAACAACTGTTTTATGTTTTAATATATGTTAATTTGTAATTTATTCCTGTGATGGCAAAGCTGAATTTTCAGCAGGCAGCCATCACTTCAGTCTTGAGTGTCACATGACCCACCCAATCCTTGCAGTTCATAGTCAGAATGTTTATAACTGCACTGACCCCTCCTTTCTCTCTATTGCAGCTGTTGTCCCGATTATAAAGTCACATACACATGGATGTTTCTGTAGACACACTTAGTCAGAGTACACGTTATTCCTCCTCTAAGGTGGCTTCATGTATATGGCTCATTGTTATTTCCTTACGGAATATGAGTATGTTTCTCTGGCAACATAGGAGTGGCAGTCATTCCAAAGCCTGTCTTTTTTTTTTTTTTTTTTACATAATACATGAAAATATCTTATTTTCAATTCCAGGGTTATTATAGTTAACTAAAACTAAAACCATAAAAAATGTTACTTGAAATAAAATAAATGTTAACTGAAATAAAATAGCTTAAACTTATTTTATCTCAGCTAGTTGACAAAGCAACTTTTTTTTTATTTACTATTATTAATTATTTACTATTATTATTATTTACTATATTTTTGATGTACTAAAATAAATACAACTAAAACTGAAAAAAAAATTTTTTAAACTATATCGATGAACAAAAATAAAAAATAGATAAAAAATTCTGAAAACTTTAAAATTACAATGAAAACAAAATACAAAAATAAAAACGTTTTATTATTATTAAACTATAATAGTATCCTAATGATGCTAAAATAACACTCTTCCATACACTGATCCCCCCCCCCCAAATAAAAATAAAACACAATTTAACAGATTTTTTAACATTTTTCCCTTGCATGCAATTAATTAATTAATTAATTAATTAACAACCATATGGGTTTGTTACAAAATGAGGGTGGTTTTTTTCATTTTTGGCTGAACTATTCTTATAAAGTCTTGATTTATTCATACAAAAATCTTTGGGTTGCCCAATTCCACTCTCAGCCCCTCTAATCCCTCCTTTCCTGCAGGAGCTCTGTGATGATCCTCAGTTCATTGTGGGTGGAGCATCACGGACAGACATTTGTCAAGGAGCTCTGGGTAAGTTTTCTGGTTGTACAAAAGTCATCAGTATGCATAGTTTCTAAGTGTTTTCTTGGCAGGATGAAATGATTCTTTGGCTGTAAAGCTCAAAGCGTGAGTTACCACAGAAAGAGCAGCTCATATAACTGACCTGAGGCGTGTCTGCATGACTCATCCACTTCCCACTGACCTTGAGTCAGTGCATGTTTGTAATTGTGCCAACTTATCTCAATCAATGTGCATGTCAGATATTTTTTTTTTTAGTTTTTATGTTACCGCCCTTGTACAGTATATTTTGCTTGCTATTAAGCTAGTATAAGCTAGTATCAGTTATATAAGTTACACTTCCAGGCAAAAGTCTGCACACACCTACTAGTTATATTTTCTCTGTTTTACAGTAATAGAAAAGTCATCAAAACTAGCATATGACACTAATGGGAATTATTCAAATCAAAACAACTGAAAACTCAACTAGCAGTGGTAGTGTATGGTCAGCCTGCCACTGGCCTCTTATGGTTTCTTTGGCTGTGAAAAATTCCTCTGCTCTGAGGTGGAGATCTGACAGGAATGGGTTTCACACAGGCCTCACAGAGAAAATAAACCCCACCCCTTTCTCTTTGTCCCCCTGCTGGCTGTAGATTGGTAGTTCAACTGCTGTGTTTTATTAAAAGACAAAATATTGGTAAGCATTTTTTTCAGGGATTTTGGTATTGCAGTTTAAATTGCTTTTTGAATTAGTGGCTTTATTATATTTCACCCTGCCTCGTCTTTTTTTTTCTTGGCCAGGTGACTGCTGGCTCCTCGCTGCTATAGCCTCGCTGACTCTCAATGAAAGACTCCTCCATAGGGTCGTCCCTCATGGCCAGAGCTTTCAAGATGACTATGCTGGAATATTCCACTTTCAGGTTCTGAAACACATTTGCATGCTCTAGAGCACACGGCATGTTTTGCATGTCTCCTTAATCAAACACACCTGATTCAGATCATCAGCTCATTAGTAGAGACTCCAAAACCTGAAATTGGTGTGTCAGAGAAAGGGGACATGCAAAATGTGCAGTGTAGGGGTGCCTCCAGGACCAGGGTTGGGAACCACTGCTCTAGACTGTTCTTGTTGAAGATAAATAGGGTTTTGGATTTAAATATTTATGATTAAATGTTTAAAATAGTTTCAGAAACAAATATTAATGTATGTTTTTTTTTTATTATTTTATAAAAAATATTATTATTGTTATTCATTTTAATAATTATTTTAAACATTTTTTTACAATTGTAATTTATATTATATTTCATGGTCAATTGTCTATTGTCAGGAGTGTAGCCAAATATGAAGCACACAGAAGTCACTTTCACTCAGCAAATCTGCGTGGGGAGGTCTTTCACACACCCAGCATGAATTCCTATTAAAATTACGTATTTTTTCCTGCAAAAAGATGCCAAACAACAATAAATGTGATTGCATCTTTAATCTGGCGTCCTCTCAGCCATTTCCTCATACTGATCACTGTGCACCATCTGGATGTTCAGTTCATTACGTTTGCTTTTTTCTGTTGTGCAGTTCTGGCAGTTTGGTGAGTGGGTCGACATTGTGATTGATGATCGGCTCCCGGTCAGAGACGGAGAGCTCATGTTTGTCCATTCAGCAGAGGGAAATGAGTTCTGGAGTGCCTTGGTTGAAAAAGCCTATGCTAAGTATGTCCTGATAGACATTTTGGTAGGCCAGCAAAATATGTTCTTACCAAGAATCATTTACAAATTTGGACTGTCTCTGTATTATTTAAGATTTTACCATAGTTTAAGCACAGTCTCCTCACTTGTGTGTGTTTGTTTGTTTTGTACCAGGCTAAATGGCTCCTATGAAGCTCTCTCTGGAGGATCCACCACTGAAGGTTTTGAGGATTTCACCGGAGGGGTTTCAGAGATGTTCGAGCTCCGCAAAGCTCCAAGAGACCTGTACCGAATCATCAGCAAAGCCCTTGAGAGAGGTTCCCTGCTGGGATGCTCTATTGATGTGAGAACTTCAATTAGTATTTCTTTAGACGTTGTTTGATATACATTTATTGATGTACATCATTCTAGATTTAGGGTGCTTTCACACTTCGGTTTGCTCGATTGCCTGGTCCGAACCCGAGTTCGATTGATCCCCATGCCCCAGCTGGTTTGTGTTCATACTGTGTTTTTTGGTACCGAAATATGGTACATTTGCGTCATCAGAGTGGCAGCTGTTTACCCCTGTTGCAAGGTAACGACTACGCAGGAGACGGCAAAATGAATGGATGCTTGCTTGCTTCATTTTTATACCTCAGATTTTGAAAATTTTGTTTCATTTCCAAAGCGCAAACACAGATATAAATTCTCTCTGCTGCAGCACGTCAGACACGCTTATCAGGAAAGCGAGTGAGTAAACGCATAAATACACAGTTTGACCAATTCATACATTAATAGCAGTTCACTTCCATGTTTTCACATCAGAAGCGAACCGTACCAGAGTTCGCACGAACCGTACCCCACACCACCCTTTTTAGGCGTACTCGGGTACGGTTCGTGGGTGCGCACACGAGTTTAGAAAGCAGCGTTCACATTTTCCAAACCAACCGAACTCTGACGTCAAACGAACCCGGATGCGCACCAAAAGTGCTAGTGTGAAAGCCCCCTTAGATTAATATATAATTAATATATTATTTATAATTGTGTACCAGATCACCAGTGCCTTTGACATGGAATCTGTGACGTTTAAGAAGCTGGTTAAGGGTCATGCTTACTCAGTGACTGCTCTCAAACAGGTAACGCTCCCAGTATATCTGGCTCATAGACCGTTTAATTAGGAGTTTAATTATATGTGCCTTCATGTGTGTGATCTCTCTTTGACAGGTGGAATTTAGGGGTTGTACAGAGAGGCTTATTCGCATCCGTAACCCGTGGGGTCAGGTTGAATGGACGGGGGCCTGGAGCGACAAGTAAAAAATAACACAGAAAAACTTATTCAGTTCAGCCCAAGTCATTGAGTAAGAAGATTGTGTATGTTTCCTCTCCAGCTCCCCTGAATGGGACGAAATCGATCCATCTGAGAAGGATGACTTGCACTTACAAATGGAGGATGGAGAGTTCTGGTGAGCTTTATCAGCAATAAAAATGAAAGGAATAGTTAACCCAAAAATGACATGGATGAGTTTGTTTCTTCATAGGAGCAGATTTGGAGCAATTTAACATTACATCACATGCTAAGCAGTGGATCCTCTGCAGTGAATGGGTGCCATCAGAATGAGAGTCCAAACAGCTGATAAAAACCAAAAAAGTTGTCTCACTTCAGGAGAGAATCAGGAGAGAAATATGCACAGATCAAGCACCCTTTAGTGAAAAACAGTTCTAAACAAGTAT